CATCGTCATCGTCACCATCATCTTCATCATTTGCATCATGATCATAATAACCAGCAGCATCAGCATCTCATCATCATCAGCACCATCATCATCATCATCATCGTCATCGTCATCGTCATCTTCAAATTCATCGTCGTCGTCGTACTCGTCATCGTCGTCGTCGTCGTCGTCGTCGTCGTCGTCATCATCATCATCATCATCATCATCATCATCATCATCAGCCCTCGCCCCCCTGCGTCGCAACCTCCTCCTCCCCGCCCTCCTCCCACTACGCTTCTTCCCTGCCCCCCCCCTCAGAATCGCGCGGTGCGACGGATGGCCCCGTGAGCTGCGGCCTGAGGTCGGGGCTCACGTAGCCGGATATCCGTCTACGTCTGGGACTTGTGCGTATTCCAGAGGCGCACGAAAGAGGCGGATCGCAACAAGGGGGTCTCGCGAGCCAGCTCACCCCGGCTTCCCACAAGCGGACGGCGCCCGAGGCGCCCAAGGCATCGAGGAGGAGGCGCCCGGCGGCGGGGCCCCGGCAGCAAGTTTCGAGGCACGCCCTGCCACGTCCCCGACGCTCTCGCCGGACCCGGTGTGTTGCAGTGCCTGGCGAGCTCGCTCGCGAGGTCGCCCGCCTCTTTCGGAGCTCTCTTGAGTGGCGGCATGCGGAGGCGCTCCTAAATGGGAGCGGTCCCCCAACATATTAAAAACGAAGCAGTGCAGTGCACCTCGGGCGACTGCGTGCCCGAGGATGTCGGGAAGGCTAGCTATACAACGCGCCCTCTGAAGCAACACGAGCTGCCCGCGGGGGCGGTGCCGATCCCGGCTGCCGCGCGCGCGCGACGAAGTCGAGAAGGGTTCTGCGGCGGGCTGCGTGCTGTCGATGCCGCTTGCAGAGGAATCAAGGCGGCATACAGTCGGGCTGCTGAATAAGGAACGTTGAATATAGAGGAAGAGAAAACATAAACATAAACGTTCGACGGTCCGCGCGGATTTCTTGGATCTGCGCTGGACCCCCCTCCCTGGCGCGCGGAGCGCGCCAGGGGCGGCGCTAGAGACGCCGCGGGGGGGCCCAGCGCGGATCCAAGAAATCCGCGCGGAGCGCCAACAGTTTATGGTTATGGCGTTCTTTCGTCTTCGAGAATAAGGAACGGAGCCCCTTTCTGGCATCATAGGAACTCGTGTGCACGAGAAGGGCTAGAGGAACAACCGCGGAATGCGCTAAGGAACAGTGACCGCCTCCCGAAACCCAAAGCGGTCCTTATTTCAACGTCGTGGCTGTAATCAGAAACCTGGAGATCCGCACGGACTCCTGGGGTTGGCGCCGGATGCGCCGGAAGGGGGAGGGAGCCTGGCGCCGAACCAGGAACTCCGCGCGGACCTCCGAGAAACAATGCTGATTCGAAGCCAAGACAGATGCCGAACAATCCGCGCAGACGAGCAATCCGTGCAGACTTACTCCACACGAACCTAGCACTCAACTAGGAGAGGCTACGTCCAGACGGAGTAAGCCCAGACGGAGACCGACCACTACGTATGGACATGCTCCACACGGACTAGAGGAACAACAAACGGTATCAACATACACTATTGGAGGTCCGTGCAGATTTCTCGGACTCGCGCCCGACCCCCCTCCCTGGCGCGCGGAGCGCGCCAGGGGCGGCGCCGGAGGCGCCGCCGCGGGGGCCCAACGCAGATCCAAGACATCCGCGTGCAGCGCCGAGTACTTATATTCATGCAGCTTGCTCTTCGATCCGCACCCTCCGACTTTACGCCGAGGTCTGTTCTTTGGGCGTGGCTTAATGGGGGGGTCACAAATGGGGGGGTCAGAAAAGGTCCCCTTTCGTGCCCCTTTCGGGCCCCTCCAGAGCCCCAGGGGGCTCGTTTAGGTACCGTTTGGGTACCTTTTCGGGCCACCCTCGCCGCCCCCCCATTTATTCGGGAGACTCTCCATGGGGGGGGATCCCATGGGGGGGCAGGAGGGGATCCCCCCCATGGGATCCCCTCCTGCCCCCTCATGGGATCCCCAGGGGATCCTATGGGATCCCCCCCCTGGGATCCTATCCCCCCATGGGATCCCCCCCCATGAAGAGTCTCCCGATTTATGACCCCCCCATTACGCAACGCCCATGTTCTTCGAGCTCGAGCTCGGAGTCGGGCCCCATGCAGGAGCCCGGACGCCGCGCAGGCCGGCATCGCTCCAGGCTCCGCACGGGCGGCCCCCCAGGAGCGGGTCCTGGCTGGCCTCGGGCGGTCGGACGTAGAGGAGCAAGCAGACATGAGCTATCCGAGGCCCGCGCGGATTTCTTGGATCGGCGCTGGACCCCCTGGCGCTGGAGGCGCCGGCAGGGCGGCCCAGCGCCAATCCGACGAATCCGCTCAGACCGCCGAAAGCTGATATTCATGCAGTGGATTACTCTTCGACGTGGAGGCCTCCCAGACGGGGTCGGGGCAGATGTGGTCGGAAGATCTCGCCGCATCGCCGATGCATTGGCGATGTATCGGCGACGCTGGCGATGCATCGAGGACTTCGGACTGGAGAAACTCGGGCACCACATCGAGATGCATCGCCGATGCATCGGCGATGCGGCGCGATCCTCCGACCCCATGTACTCCGACCCCATCTGGGAGGCCGAGATTCCCGCGATTCAACTCATGCAGCTGGCTTGCCCAGCTCTTCCCCATTGGTGCCGGGGCTGAAACCGGCTGCGCGTAGCAGATGTCGTACCGCCACCCCCTTTCCTCAACCCCCTGTTCGTCCGGCCCCACCAGGGTAGCCAACCCGGAGGGCGAGGATTGCCCTTGGGAGCGCCAGCGGGGGTGGCGGCGGGAAGCTGCGACAGCCCTGCCTGGAAGCTGGAACACACATGCCGGGCTTCACGTGTGAACCCAGAACTCCTTCGCTTTTCTGCTATACGCCATCGTCGAGGGTTCTCAGGCCGTCCCGCGGCCGCTTTCTCGTCCCGCCTTGTCCCAGCCTGTGCTTCCGCCGCACTTGGCCACGGACGCGCCCCGCCGCCAGCCAGACCGCTTGTCGGATCCACCTCGCCGCAGACCGACAGAAACGTGAAGCTGGAACACGCGAGGAATATACCCATACGGAAGACATGCGGCCGACACGGGAGCAGCCCGCACCCCCAAAACCTGGGCCTCTCGGTGGCACTGCCGCCGCACCCCGGTGGCGGAGCCGCCGCCGCTCTGCTTCCGCCGGCTGCCGCCGAAGGCGAGGCCCGCCGAGGGCGGGGCCCGCTCCAGAGCGCGCCGCCCGGCTTGCGTGTCCAGCTCCCGCCCAGGCCGGCCACGCCACGTGGGGGCCCCAGGGCCGTGCGGTGACGGACCGCGCGGTGACCTCGAGAGCCCAAGAGACCTCCCCCTGCGCGGTCCGTCACCCCCAAGGCCTCAGGACCTCGGAGGCCCAGGTCGCCCCGAGACGCCCTCGGAGAACGACGCGAGTCCCAGAACTGACTCGCCACGTGGTGTGGGCACCACGCCGTTTGGGGGCCCCCGACTGGTGCGCATCCGACCTCCTGGCGGGCAGCATCTGCAGGCCGCCTGCGTGCTGCCCGTGGCCTTGCCAGCACGGGAGCGCCGTTCGGGCCAGGCCGGTGCCTACGATGCCTCTGCTGCTCTGGGCGAGGGCCGTGGACCACCGCGCGTGCGGCCTGGAGCTCGCTCCGACGCTTCCTCCATCGCCCGATCCTTCTCCTCCCCCGCCACGGCCCCCGCCTCCTCTTCGGTTGATGAGCAAGCTCTTGTACATGTGCCATGTGTTTGCGAGCGCCCACCGCGCCCCCGATTTGAGAACGCGTCCTCCATCGCTCGATCCTTCTTCTCCCCCGCCACGGCCCCCGCCTCCTCTTCGGCTGATGGACGAACTCTTGCACATTCGTCATTAGTTTGCGAACGCCCACCGCGCCGGTAATTCAATATTGGCGGGCGCTTCCGCGATAGATCGATCTGTCGACTGGCCGATATGCTGCGCCCAGCTGGCGATGCCAACCAATATTGGGTCGGGGGCAGGGGGGCGCGTTCAAGTTTGCGCAGGCACCACTGTCGCGCGGGAGGTGAAGGATTCTGTCCATCAACCGGTCCTCCTCTTCTCACGTCTCCTCTTCTCCTCCCTATGGCTTTCCTTTTCGTCTTCCTTCGCCTCACCATCATCCTCACCCGCCTGCCTGCCAATGGCGTAATCCTCGTCCTCATCCTCCTGCCTCTTATTCCGTCGCTCCTCTGCCCCCTTATCCGCATCGCCAGACACCTCCGTTCCTCCTCGTCGTTGTGCTCTTGATTTTTTCTTCGTACTATACATCCCAACTACCACTTTTCGTCGACGACTACGTATGACTGCAACGACTACTGATACGTCTGGAGACCAGCAAAGCTCTGACCGACCGAAAAGCGTGAACAAGCAAAGCAGACATGCTAGCCAATGTGGATTCAAAGCAGTAAGTCGTAGCGTTGTAGATGTATGACGTATGTGATCCAGCATCCGCAGTTCCAGCTATGTGGTGCAACCTCGACTGACCTCCCAAGCGAGGCATGTGGCAATGAGGCGGCAGTGAGGCAGCAACGGGAAGCTAGGGCTCCCAACTTCGCGCTTCGCGCTCCGCGAAGCGCGAAGCGCGAATAACTTCGCGCTCTCGCGCCGCCCCCCCAAAGGGAGAACAGGAGGACGAGGAGGAGGGGGAGAAGAGACGAGGACCGCGAAGCGCGAATAACTTCGCGCCCTCGTGGGAGCCCTTAATGAGGCGGCAGTGAGGCAGCAACGGGAAGCGAAGCGGCGACACCACGACTGATCCCCCCAGGAGGGCGGCAACGAGGCTGCAGCGTGCGGCGACGCGGCGAGACCTCGACGGGCCAACTCAGCTCTGGAGCACGACGAGTAAGGAACCCTGAGTGCAAGCAGTGCCCCTCCCTGCCCCCTCCCCTCCCTGCCCCTCCCTCCCCTCCTCCTCCCTCCCCTCCTCCTCCCTCCCTCCCTGGGGAACAACGGCTTCCCCCTCCCTGCCCCTCCCTCCCCTCCTCCTGGAGGCCTCCCAGCGAGCCGCTTCAGTCGTCGCCCGAGTGCTCGCTCTCGTGGACGCTGCCCTCGCCAGCGGAGCCGCTGCCCGAGGCGCCCAGGTTGGCGCTGCCGCCAATGCCTGGGACTGTCTGTCCAACCGCCCCGTTACACCTCTTCCTCCTCCTCCTCCCTCCTCCCTCCTCCTGTTTGTAATCCAATCCCACCAGCCCTTTGGGCGTGAGTGGTTTAGCGAGCTCTCTCTGTTCTCAACCCCCCTTCTTCCCCTTCGGGGAGGGGTTTACCCCTCCCCCTACCCCCTCCCCCTGGGCCTGGAGAGGGCGGCCCGCGGGTCGTTGGAGGGGTCTTTTTCGACTCCTGGGAGGGCTAAAAAACGACGGCCCTCACGAGGATTCTGGCCCCGACGGGGGGGCACAGTTTGGCCCCTCTCCTCTTCTTTGAAGCCAAAATCATTCATTGTACTACGGTTTTGGCCCCATTTTGGCATCCTGAGGGGGCAGCGCTCCTCTTCCTTCATAGCAAAATCATTGATTTTACGAAGGTTGTGGACTCATTTTGTCCTTCTCAGGGGGCAGCGCTCACTTGCGCTTCTGAGGAGGTCGCAAGGGGCCCCAAGATGGCCCCCAGAGGCCCCCAGGAGCCTCCCAAGAGGCCTCCAAGAGGCCCCCAAGATGCCCCCAAGAGGCCCCCAAGATGCCCCAAGAGGCCCCCAAGAGGCCCCCAAGAGGCCCCCAAGAGGCCCCCAGAGGCCCCACGAGGCCCCCAAGAGGCCCCCAAGAGGCCCCCAAGAGGCCCCCAAGAGGCCCCCAAGAGGCCCCAAGAGGCTCCAAGAGGCCCCCAAGAGGCCCCACGAGGAGCCCGAACGACTCACACCAGGACGAGGGGCCCGAACGACTCACACCACGAAGAGCCCGAACGACTCACACCACAAGGAGGGGCCCGAACGACTCACACCAGGACGAGGCGCCCGAACGACTCACACCACGAGGAGCCCGAACGACTCACACCACGACGCGGGCCCCGAACGACTCACACCACGAGGAGCCCGAACGAGTCACACCAGGAGGAGGGGCCCGAACGACTCACACCAGGATGAGGGGCCCGAACAACTCACACCACGAGAAGCCCGAACGACTCACACCAGGACGAAGAGCCCGAACGACTCACACCACGAAGAGCCCGAACGACTCACACCAGGAAGAAGGGCCCGAACGACTCACACCAGGACGAGAAACCCCAAACGACTCAAATCACGAGGAGCGCTTTCTCTCCCTCCTCCTCCGCCTCGTCCTTCTCCCGCTCCCCCCACAAGGAGGATGTACAAGGAGGCGGGAGGAAGGAGGAACAGGGGAGATATGCGGGGCCAAGCGGACACACGCCTGAAAAACACGACTGTCGGCATGCTTCGCAAGAGTTGCTGCTGTGAGATGGGCTGGTGGGGATACGCGAAGCGTAAAGAATTTCTTCATACTCCTCCTCCTCCTCCTCCTCTTCCTCCTTCTCCTCCTCCCCCCCCTCCTCGTCTCCTCCTCCTCCTCCTCCTCTTCCTCCTCCTCGTCTCCTCCTCACTGTTCCTCTTCCTCCTCCTTCCTCATCTTTCAATCATTCCACCCATCTCCTTCATGATTCATAACGAATGACTCCCTGTCGCGCCCACAAGCGTGTCTGCAGGGCGGGCACGGCGCTTCACCTGAAAATCCCTCACCAGTTCTGATCCTGAAGCTTGACATTTGCACCAACTTCAAGGATGGAGGGCGGGCCGTGTTCGATATGTAGCTCTCGCCCCCGCGCCGCGCACACTCTTTTTCAGAGTTCGCAACACTTTAAAACATGGAGTGTCCTTTTCAAAAGGTGGCTGTTGCCTTCGTGCCACACACTTCGTCTCCCAATTCTGTCGTACCTTTCAGGGTGGAAGGCGGGCTCTTTTCAAACTGTGGCACTCGACTTAGCGCCGCGCACGATCGGCTGAAACTCTTTCAGACGGCGGCTCGCCTTGGCGCCGCGCACATTCGTCTTAAACACGTGCAGCGCCTTCAACGGTGGAAACCGGGCCTTTTTTTCAAAACGTGGCTCTCGCCTCAGCGCCGCGCACTTTCACCCCCCATGTTACATGTGGCCCATGTTTGCACTTGGTTCGAGAGTGGAGGGCGTTGTTTTGCAAAAAAGTGGTTCTCCCTTTGCCGCCGCGTACATGTGTCTTAAAAGTTTGTTGCGCTTTCAAGAAATCGTATGGCCGAAGTCCCAAGAACGGGTGCTTTGGCGCGATCAAGGATTGCCCGGCTGCTACAGTCACGTTGCGTCGCGGTGCTGAAATACCAAGAACGGCTTTCTGACACGAGTTTCGATTGTCTGGTCGCAACAGTCACTGCCAGGAATTGTGTTTTGGCATGATTGAGACCTCTCAGGCGGTTGCCTTTCAATGAGGCACGTAATGCATCGATAATGATTTCTTGCACGTGCCTGTGAGGAGGGACGTTGAATGGAGGGATTCTTACACCATCGTTGATATGTCTTGGATTTGGAATGGTCCTCCTCCTCCTCCTCCTCCTCCTCCTCCACCATCCTCCTCCTTCCCATCCTTCATCTCCTCCTCCTCCTTGAATCCACAGCCATGGCACGCACTTAACTTTGAGGTGCGTGTCAACTAGGGCTACGCGTATCGGCCCGCAGTCCTGGACACAGAGAGAGAGAGGAAGGGCGCACCCATCCGAAACATTTTTGTTGCATCAGGATGGAGGGCGACATTCCACCTGGGTGCCAGCAACAGGCGCACGCTCCTCCTCCTCCTCCTCCTCCTCCTCCTTCTCTTCCTATTCCTGCTCCTCTTCCCCCTCCCCCCCTTCCTCCTCCTCCTCCTCCTCCTCCTTCTCCTCCACCTTCTCCTCCTCCTCCTCCTCCTCCTCCTCCTCCTACTCCTCCACTGCCTCCTCCTCATCCTCCTTCTTCCACATCACCTCGTCCTCCCTCGTCCTCGTCCTCTTCGTCCATCCTGCTCCTGCTCCTGCTCCTGTTCCTGCTCCTCCTCCTGCTCCTGCTCCTGCTCCTCCTCCCTCCTCTTCCTCCTTTTCCCTCCCGTCTCTCTCCTCCTCCTCCTCCTCCTCCTCCTCCTCCTCCTCCTCCTCCTCCTCCCCCTTCTCCTCCTCCTCATCATGTTTCCCCTCCTTTCACTACTCTTTCTCCTCCACGCCTCATCCACAATTACACAACATGAATACTACTCTCCTCTCTTCCCTGATGACGTCTGGAAGGTGTTCGGCCCCCCTCAGGGTACCGTTTCTTTGCACGATGAACTCATGGGAATTAGGTGTCGCTCGTGCTTTCCTTCAAGATGTTGCTCCCGCTGAAGCGCTGGCCTCATTGTCGGGCTTCCGCTCGTTCCGAATCGTGTTCCCGCTGCAACGCTGGCCTCACTTCCGCGCTTCCGCTCGTTCCGAATCGTGCTCCCGCTGCAGCGCTGGCCTGGTGTCCGCATTTCCGTTCGTTCCGATTCGTGCTCCCGCTGCAGCGCTGGCGTCATCATTTCAAGCGCCATGACATGGCATGCAATGCTATGCTATGTGGTGTTCCGCTGTGCGATGCCATGCCTTCAGCTGCAATACTCGTATGTGCAGAGCTTGACTACGCAGCGCCACGCCATGCTATGCCGCTACGCTTTGATCTCCAACGACATAATATGCCATGTTCTGCTCTTTGCCGCTGTGCGATGACATTAGTTGCCTTGCAATGCTTTCTGATGCAATTCTTCACCACGCAACGCCACGCCATGCTATGACATACTATGCTCTACCGTGCTCTTCTTCGCCCTGCTATGTCGTGCTCTACGATGCATCGCGCACCCTCTTGGGATCTTTGCCCTGCTCGACATCTGACTGTGCGGATAGAGGGGGGATCTACGCCACGGTAAGAGATGAGAGGGAGGGGTAGGATGTCAGATATGACGCGAACGCACCTAGCTTGTCGAACTCCTCCTCTGGATCCCCCTCCTCTAACAGATCCTTCTCATCATTCTCCCTGTCCTGCTCCTCCTCCTCCTCCTCCACCTCCTCGTCCTCCTCTCTCGGTTGCTCGCTGGCTAGGAGGCTCGCAGGACCCCCCCTAGAACCTCGCGAACTCCCAGGAACCTCGTAACCTAGAATCACAGCGGAGCACCCTAACAGCAGCACAGGTGAAGAGGCGGGTCGAAGAAAAGGAGGTCGGCCAATGAAAACGTGCATTCTTAAGTATTCCTAGCGGGTTCTGGGCATGACAGGGGTGAGAACACGGCCCTACGCACCGTAGTACAGCTGTTCCAATGGATCGTGGCCGTGTGACAGGGACTGGAGCACGGCCATGTGCACCATAGCGTATGTCTTTGAAAACATTGTGGCCGTGTGACAGGGGTGAGGGCACGGCCATGTGCACCGTAATGCATTTTGAAACAAGAGCGTGGCCGGGCGACCAGGAAGAGAGCACGGCCATGTGCACCGTGATGCATGTTTTACAAAAGATCGTGGCCACCCGGACCAAACATGTAGCTGGGCATTGAAGCAAGAACACGATACCCGAATCAATTCTGAGGACGTCTCAAGCGAAACGGCGACTCCAGGAGTCCAGTCTCATGAATATCCCCGTCACCCGTCGGACCTTTTTGTAGTCAGTGGCCTGAAATTGTGAGGACGTCTCAGGCGAAATCGCCTCTTTGGCTCCCGATTGTGGGAAGTCTCAAGCGAGACGGAGATTCCTGGAGTGCGGTCTCGTAACTTTCCTTGTCCACCCTACGGGGCGTTTTTGTGTTTAACAGGTGAAGAAAGTTTCAAGGAAAATGGCGACTCGGGAAGTCTGGTCTCCTACCTCTCCAGGTCCCCCCGTGGGACTTCTGTGTGGTCCTTCTTGGCCAAGATTCTAGGCCTCACAACATCGTTCTCCTCGTCGGCACTGTCCTCCTCCTCTTTTCGGCGCCCCTAGCGCATGGGGGCCGCGAGGCAGAAGCATCAACAACTCGGCCTCCTCCTCCTATTCATGCCCACCCCCTGTTTCTTCATAGCTCGCTTCAGCAGCAGGTGAGGTGGCATCACGCGGTACTTCAATGCATCGGCACGCCTCTCAGCCAGCAGGAGGCAGGCGACCTCATAGATCAGCTCG